GCTGCGACCAGTTGAGGGTGCACACAGGATTACCTGGTCTGGCTCTAATTATAATCTTTATTAAGAAGGAAAATTTTAAGCTCAATCTTAAAAATAGAGGAGGTTTTCTCATCTTGAAACCAAACTGAGAGTTGGTTGCACAAGAGAGGGGCCTGATAGATGGATGGATGGATGTCCCCCCATTCTACTTTCAAAAACTCTGAAAACCTCGAGTAAGCTTGCAGTCTGAGAGCAAAGTGCTCTACTGGGATAATATGATTCTATGAAGTTTTTATATATGATGTGGCCTGATATTTCAGGAATTGTATGTGGGAAGAAGGATTTTACAATCAATTAGGATTTTACAGGAAGCTCGTGAAGAGAAGCTAATACAGGAAATATGAGCTCTTTTTCTGGTCTTTGTCCGGACTCTTGCTGCCGCATTTTAGATGAATGCTTTTCAGAGAATTATCTGACAATAGCGAATTACAATAGTCTAGCCTTTAAGTAGGGCAGCATGGTGGCATGCTGGTTAGCACTGTTGCCTCACAGCAACAGGCCGGGGTCTTTCTGTGTGGAGATTGCATGTTCTCCCCGTGTATGCGTGGATTCTCCCTGGATACTCTGGCTTCTTCCCACAGTCCAAAGACGTGCAGTTAGTGGGGATAGGTTAACTGGAAACACTAAATTGCCCATGGATGTGAGTGCGATTGGTTGTCTCTGTCTATGTGTTAACCCTGCGAGAGACTGGCGACCTGTCCAGGGTCATCTGGTTCATGGATAAATATAGCTGTTTATCATCTGCATAGCAAAGGAAATATATGCATCCATCCATGCATTTTATTAACCACTTATTCACGTCAGGTTCATGGCGAGGGCTGGAACCAGGTATCATTGGGCGAAGGGCATGGTACACCCTGGAATAATGGCCATTCCAATAAAAGGGATAATGGAAATATATGCATATCGACTGAGGGAAGCAGTTGACAGCGTTTTAGTAGATACAGGTGAATGGCTTAGAAATGAATTGAGCTGCGATTTGGGGAAGGCCTTGAAGGGGACTGAAAGCAGCTCCCGGGCCTGGCAGATCCCCATGTACTAAATAGAAGTGAAGAAGTGAAAGAATTTAAAAGGGGAGGGAGGGGGATGTAAACGAGAATGAACAGCTTGTAGAACTGAGGGAACATATATAGATAAGAACCGGAAGTAATGTGTTTGGAGGCGGGGTCCCGCTCCTGAAATTCAGATACTTTATCTCCAATTGTGTTAGAGACATTCCTCATTTTCAAGGACAAATTGGAATATATCAGATAAATACAACTCAAACCAATGAAGGACATTTTAATACATTTTAATAGTCTTTGCAGTCTCTGGAGAAAAATCCTGCTATTCCCCGTAATAAATCCTGCACTGAGGTCTAGAAGAAGAAGCACAAAGATGAGTCCATCATCAAGAGGCCATAAGAAGTGTCATGATGCACTCTAAATCCTGGCTGAAACTCTTCAAATAAACCATTCCTCTGTCTGTAAGCAGACTCACAACTGATGTTTGGAGTTTTTTGTGAAATAAAAGGTCAATGGTGTGTACTATGATGTGTGGACTCTATGTGCATAGTGTACCAAAGCAAACATTGCCCATTCACTTTTATGTGAATGCAATGCACGTATTTATTGGTATTTTTATAATCCAGTTGTGTGGTTCTATTCTATTTTTTTAAAAAACAATTTTAAATGTTGAATCAATATATCAAATAAAAATGACCGTATCTACAGACTCTGTTGGAAACCAGTTCACACACTGGACAACAGCTACAGAGAAGACGTTCAAATAAAACAGCATTCTTCCTCGCGTGTTGAAATCTCCATCCTCTCGTCATCTCTGTGCCTTTAAAACAGTCATCTCCTTTCATGTCCATGTAGGAAACTCACTATTATTATGTAATATCTTGCAGCAACATCCATTCACTGTTACTATATTCAGCAGTGGCGAGCTAAATATAACTACATACCATCAGCTGTGATAACAAATTTCAGCGTGGCATCAAAAAGTTTTGCATGAGAACAAACTAGAATCTTAGAACATTTGTTCCACTGTTTCTCAACCTCAAGTGCCTTTTTACATCTATATAGCAGACAATTTTGGCAGAATATAAACAGACAGTTGCAAAAATTATTCTGAATGTTCATTTTCAAATTTGCATCAGTAGAAATGCAACACAGTGTTGCACAAAATATACATCTCCATCCCCACTATTAAAAAAACAACAGCAGCTTCATGTTATTACACTTACAAGGTCAGTGTCGATACTGTGAAAAGGCCAAATCAATACCTAACATGGATAAGTGAGCTACAGCTGATTTATAATGCATAAACGTATGCATCAAACAAAGTGCATTATTTAAACGCCATGGTGCATGCAAGTTCATGTTTACCAATCGCAGTAACAAAATTAGCTGCCTCAGCTGCGGCAAACTTGACAAAGGACTCCCAGTGAGTATACTATCACTCTGAAAACACTCAATGGGAACAGAGCATCACACACACCCATTCAATGCAGCGTCTCTGTGGTGTGCCAACTCACATGCCTATTACATAACAGGGCTCCTACTCCCAGGCCTGACGCCCCTGATAAATACACGCACGCTTTGCTGCACATGAACTATTTATATACAGCACCCAAGACAGGGATGGTCAAAAATACCACTCCAGTCAATTATTCATTGAGAAACATTCCAAAACACAGAGGAGAATGAGTTCGTCTGCACAGGCTGGGGGGTGGGTGAGGGGGCTAACAATAAACAACATCCATTAGCAATGCAGCAGCTCATTTGTCCTCAGTGGTGCTGAATCCAAAGGGCAGCAAATGTGCAGCTGCAAATTTCCCCTCCCATGTGTTGTGCTTGTATTTATAGGAGTCTGTGCATACACTTCAGCTCCTCTGCAACCATCTTGTTCCTTTCCAGGGTTCTAAAAATAGCAGGCTGCATTGTGTGTGTGTGTGTGTGTGTGTGTGTGCCATTTTTAGATCCTGGAAATGAAGTGGAAAAAAAAAGAACAAGGCGGCAGAAAAAGATACTGTTGTTTATGTGAATGAACACACTGTTCCATATTTGTTCTAAGGCACTCCATGCTGCATTGGCAACATTGCGTACAAGTAAACAATGCTTAACACAGCCAGGTTTCAATTCATGAAGCCTATATGAATTGTTTCACACGTGTAAAGCTTTATAAATCCAATTATTTTCTAGCGTTTCTCACAGTGCATCATTGTTTCTTCTTTCACTGGAGAAGAAGAAAACTGCATCCAGTGTCACGTCTGTGCCCAGAGCGTTCTAGCGCCACCATGGGTCAAGCTAGAGCTGCGTTTTTGCACAAAAAACTTTTGAACCACATACATGACATTTGGCTTCTTGGATTAAGACACATTCAAAGTGAACTGTGATGTCTGCTGCTGCTCTGAAAAACTTTAAGCATTTTCACAGGTCACCTTTTTCCCTCTCAATTAGAAATGGGACAGATGATTGTCAGACCTAGTCTCAAGTTATCAGATGGATCATTAGCCAATCGGAGCAAAGCCACCAAACAGGAAGTGAGATCATAGCTACGATGCCTAGAGCATTATAAGGTTTCTGCCACAGCTGACCTAAATTAACAGTATTGGTAATTACCAGAATTATCATTTTTTTTAGGTTTCTGTAATGGTTAATCTGTCAGTATGTGCAAGGTCTTTATATTTTTAATGCTAAAATAATATTATTGTTGTTAGCCATAAATGTTCAAATGTATTGTTTTACAAAAAGCAGAAAATAATATTCAAACACTTTATTTTGATTAAGGTGACAGAATAGTTATTTGATCTGCAGAAAAATCAGATTGTATATCCTATGCTTGATTCATTACTGACTTCTCAGAAAAGTCCAGATGAATTTATTTATGGACAGATTTCTGTCCAGACTATTTCTGTTTTCATGACATGTGGTCTAATGAATTTGCTAAGCACCGTACACCAGCAATCCTTGATTGTATTTGCACCAAATGTGGCGTATGGACTCCACTGGGTCAGGCTGAAAATCTGTTGCTTGACCACAGGGGTGCTGTAAGCAGAAGCAGGGCTTTCCTGTCAGTGCATACAGTACATACAACCACGCTTCTAATGTGACAGCTGTGCTCTGCTGACCTGCTTGGCGTCCTTATCACTGCTGGCAGCTTTAGTCATTTAAGTACTGTTAAAGCCCATATTCACAATCACATAAACAATTGGTGCTTTTCAGTGGGAGCAAACTCAGTTTTGTTTTTGCACTTGTTTTTCAATGATAGGCACTTTTTATACACACACACAAAATAATTAAAACACAGATATATTATTTAAAAAAATAACTTATGGTAATATTGATGTGATGTTGTGGCAATCTCATTTTTGCTATAACACACTCATTGTAGAGCTCTGCTGTCCTAACGCGTGAAAATCTGTTATTACCTTCAACTCACACAATGCCAATACAACATCCTTTGAAAGAGGTTCATTCTTCATAGTAGTAGTAAAACAGGAGAATGCTGCATATAAACACCACATCATCTGAAAAAGCTGAGGGTGGGTGGGAAGTATTTGTCAGTCTCTGCTGATAACAGCCTTTGGAATACGAGAGGCATTTAACTTTAACTTATTATTTTTCATGTATTTTTATGTTTTGGTACGATAACCAAGGAACAGGTTTGGGTATTTGAGTAGCAGATCTGGCAATATAGAATGAATGACTGCTAATACAACTTCTTTTTGACTGCAAGATACACTTTTAACTTTGTCCTAATGGGATTCGCAAAGAGAGAAACAATGTTGGGAAATAAAGTTGGTTAAAAAAAATTCAAACAGTGCCACCACTTGGCAATTTTTTAAGATTACATGAGTGGAAAAAAAAAAAAAGAATGCTGAGCTTGTCTTTATGATCATAGTTTTCAATCATGAAATCTCCCCTATGCTTTTATTTTCCAGTGAAACAAAGAAATGACACAGAGAAACAAAGTGAAATCCACACACTGCCTTTAATACTGTACATTTAATACAGATTCCGGTTTTTTTTAACATTATTTTTCCTTTTTATAGATGGGCAATGAGATATCATTTTTCTGCCAGATGATTTCCATAAGTTAAGAAGCAAATGTAATAGCATAGTTTATTTTCTGTCTTTTGTAGCTTGGCGCAAAAATCTAATCGTTTAGGTCCCATATAAATAGGAATGCTATAAGAAAAAAAAAGTGCAAAAGAACTGAATGTCCCCATCCATTTTAAGAAGCAGAAATAGTGAGGGAATATATTAATCGAGTCAACCTCATTTAAGCTCGAGTTGAAAAGCACATTCCATACCGTCTCAGCAAAAGCAAATACTGTATCATCCCCAATTACTTTAGATTAAAATGTACCATTTTCAGGCGGTAGTATCGCATTATCCTTCAGCGTAATAGAGCAATATACTTGTTTTTGTTATAGATCCCACTTCCTCATATTAAACAGCAGTAAAATGTCTTCAAGAAAGACAGTTTAAGCTTTTCTTCAATTTAAATAAAATAATGTAAGAGAATAAGGTGGGTTCTGTGGTCATTCGTTTTGTCCAACTTTTATTGCAAATCATGCAAAAATGGATTTGCAAAAATGAGTCTGAGCCTTTTGATTTTGAGACATAACACAAAAATCCTGCAAGTAGTGGGCCAAGATTATCTACAGTTTTACTGTATGACAGTTCAAACTTAATTCTTGGTATTGGTTAGACCTTTTTTAAAAAAAAAAAATAAATAAAAATAAAAACACCCCCCCCCCAAAAAAAAAAAACCCAAAAACAAACAAAGACTCAGATTCAGCCGAATATAAAGCTCGACACCTCATGTTTGACTTAGTCCATTTTTTCTTACACTTTTACTTTGTGCAAGTTTGTTGCAATCTTCTGATGTGTATTCTGTCTGCATGTATGTGTGTGAGTGTTTATCTGATGTGTGCATGGCCAGTGGGTACTACTGGGATTAAACTGGCTGAGTGGTTTAGGGCTGACGACGTTCCCTCTTGGTGAGCAGGTAACACTGAATGGTTCTCAGTCGATCTTTGGCAGGAGCGAACTCTGGCTGCAGCTTCAAAGTAGACTCGTACCAGCGCATGGCTTTCTCAAACTCCTCCTGGTGACGAGAAAAGGAAAGACACTTGATGTGGTATGATGCACCTATGATGCTGGTGAGCAGCTCTCAGTAAATATTGATGGATTATTAGAAAAAAATGTGACTGTGGCTGTTACCATTGCTATATAGACATTGGCAAGGGTAAAGTGGTTCACGACGAAGTGCGGAGCAATTTCTACTGCCATGCGAGCCACTGTAAGCGCGTCCTCCCATAGCCGGGCGTTCTGGAAGATGTTGGCCAGGCTGATAAGTGGCACATCCTGGTTTAAAAGTCACGAGAGGGAGAAAAAACAAACAAAACATATAAAGAGATTTATTTTTCATTTTCACAAGAAAACCACTGTTGGGAACAACTTTTGCCTAACTTGCCTTCATATGATGGGGAGCGTAGTTGAGTGCTTGTCGTAGACAGTCGATGGCTCTCTTGCCTTGACCTTTCACTCTCCAGTATAGTGCAGCCATGCTGGATAAAACCCAGGAAGTCTGATTCTGCCGTTTTAGGGATTAGAGAAGAGAAAAACTCAATGAACCATGCTAGTCGCACTGGAGTTGCATGGTGCAGCTATCAAAAGAAGTACAATAATATTCAGAGAAAAACTTTGGAGAGTTTAATCATAAAGCCCGACTGGACAAACAAACCACCAGAAGTGAATAAACTACAGTACTGACTTTCACAGTGGGGTGTTTATATTTGCTAGATTCAGTTTTGACTTAAAGCGAAGGATATTCTGAATAACGTGCTTTAGCGCCAAGGAGACGACCAGTGATCAGATGTTTATACAGCTGAATATATTTTTAGACATCTTTCCTTTATTAAAATACTAGTCTAATGGTAATCACAGTAAAACAGTATTCTCCTGATATATGAACATGACTTGTTGTACATTCAAGTCATAGTAGGTAGAAAAATCTATTATTCTAAAGCAAAAACTTCTTTTTAAATTGTCTTGGACCATCAGAGAGTCCTTACCTTCTCCAGGACTTTAGCGATGCGGGTGCCCACCTGCTCAAAGGACTGTGGGGAAAACTTATCTTTGCCGAGATTCTGCAGGACCTTTGGGTTTGGAAAAAAAGAGACATAAATCACACTATGAGCTACTGTAAGAAAGATGGGTTTAAAAAAATCCTGTCAATCAAGTTAAACACAACAAAATTGTGTTTTTATTTCTTAAGAAGGTTCTGAGATTGTTATTAAATGTTGTGTGTTTCCCCCACTTAAGGGTAATTTGAAACTTTTAAGTTTAAAAAGAGTGATATACAAGCTTGTCAACAATTTGGATGAGAAGACTAGAATGTAGTGACATTAGTTTTGATGTGATTAAGTTCATCTTAGAAAAATCCTTCTGTAAAGGAAACCTTAGCACAGAACTTTTTTCCAGTCTTGTGCTGTTTGCATTTATTTTATATGTTGGCGCTTGTTATCTCCGGCTTCTGCCTCAGCATACCTCACGCAGTTGGCTCTCCCCAGTGTAATGGATGGCGGCACGATTGGCTACCCCTGCCAGGTGGTCGAGGGTGTGCATACTAGCAGCTAGGTTGGCGTTGCATAAAGGTTCAACAGCTGGCTCCTGGAGTGGAGTGGCAAAGTCTATGTGCTCTGTGATGCTGACGGGAGGGAGTGGAGAGAAAATAAAAATAAATTATCCAGCTGTCTATTTCTTCTAAATGCATTTCTAAGTTCTGTTAAAAATGAAATTGCCACCTGATTTCACAGCGATATGGCAATAAAACAAATCCTCTTTGAATCTGTTTAGAACTTCATAAATACAGGATAAAAACAGGACAGTGAGAGCCTTACTCAATGTTCTTGGCAGAAACAGCCAACCAAGTGCTAGCTACAGTAGTGAGGTCCACCCTCCGTATCCGCTGGCACTCCTCTGGCCCTGGCCAGCCAAGACTTGTGTAGTCTCTCCAACGACCTGTCCAAAGAATAAAGAAAAAGTAAAATACAGTGACACCTCTCTGTGCGTGATGTTGTCAGTTAATACTAAAGGTTTATGTGCTACCTGAAGGACCGGGCGATGGGATAGTTGGACCGCTGATCTCCAAAACAGAGTGACCCCCAGGCAGTGAGTCCCCATTCTGGCTGTCATCAGAGGTGGAAACACTTTCTGACCCATCCACTTTAGCCTTTCTGACCCGCTTTACTTGGAAAGTGATCTGAAGACCAATAAGTAGCAGTAATACTCAATTAAGGTACTCACAAATATCTGACAGATGTTAGCAAGGATTACTCAAACTCAGTTCTGCCATTTAAAAACCAGTGAACTTCCACACTTACCCACTCTGCTCCCTCATCATCCTCACAGTTTCCAAAACAGGGCCCACTACCAGGACGAGCACCCATGACGCGGTCGTTCTTTAGCACCCGGATACCTCGCAGGTCACCTCGCTTCCCACCGACATCCAGTGCACCCTCAAAGGCTCCCATCAGATCCTCCTTCAGCTGCCAGTCCTCCTCCTCCTTTTCTCCTCCATCTCCAAAAGAAGTGCTCATTTTTGCCGCTGCCGATGCAGAAGGAGAAGCCTGCTGCTGTCCGGCTGCCTCATCTGAGCCGTTACTGTCCACGATGACCTCTGCATGGTGCGGAGAAAGGAATGAATAGGATTACGAAACATTAGCTCAACAGGAAAGAAAGAGCATGTAAACCTCAAAACAAACAAACAAGAAAAAACGATAGGACACCCCAAAGTAGACCATGGGAACCACATTTTTGCCACATGCCAAACTGCACAAGACAGAATCTCAAGTTCTGAATTATTTAGACCAAATACATCCTTGCTGAAGTGCCACAGACATAATCTCTTGACTGCTTCATTGTGCCAGTGAAGACGCCACATATCAAATTCTTACTCTCAAAGAGCAGAGTGTCTTCCATGGCAGAAATGGCCGGTGCGTCCTGCTTCTCTTCACTGCCCTCCCAGTCTTCCAGCTGCAGGCCGAGGTCCTCCTCAGCCATGCAGGCAGTGCCCTCCGGATCAACTATAAATTACCACAAAAAGCATGCAGTTAAAATGAAACTACAAAATTATTCTGATATGTTTGACAAAAACGGACACAAATGCACAAAAACAAAAAAAGACTAATTAAACAATGATGAATGGATTATTATGTAAGGGTTTTGCATATTTGCAACTATTTTTTTTATCAATTTAGACATTGTGCTTCAGTAATTTTAGCTAATACAACTTTTTAAAAAGTATTTTCCCCCACTTAGGTGGAGAACTATGAAATAATTTTGGTTATCTTTTGCTATTCTTTTAACATTTATCCAGAATATCATGTGATAATTGTTCAACCTTAGCTCACAGCCTTACAGATTTTGCACTGCAGCTCACTGGAAACAATTTTCTGTCGTACTTACTTCAAACAGTGAAAACACAGCTACTGTGTTTGTTTTTGGGTTTAAAAAAAAACAGTTCAAAATCTACGTATCGACTCCATTTACTGTCTCACTGTCCTCTGAAGAAGCCTACATGTTTTCCCCCACGTTATATGGTTCTCTTTCTTGTACTAGTAGGTCTTTGGCAGCCGTTCGGTAACTACTGTAAACTGACTGATATAATGTTTGGCTATGAATTTTACCTCAAATCTTTCACATAATTCAAATGTTATTTTTTCATTGGGTGCTTAAGTGCATGCATGTACACATTGTGCTGGCCTTGCATGGACAACAGCCAGAACAGGGAGCCAGAAGAACCGATGGATCTTATCTATCAGGGACACCAGTTTGAGACCACAGCTGTTTCTGCACCTATTTTCTAGCTCACTGTAGTACTTCCCTTGACAAGATCTAAAACACAAGGACAGCAGTCATCACTACTTTTACTATAAGTCTATTTTTTTTTTAGTACATTTGATTTTTATTGAAAAATCTAAATGGTAGATATGTGCTTTGTAAGGGCTCAAGCAACCTCAGACATTTGGTGTGCGCTTTATGGACGCAACCTTCAACTTTAGAGTGCAAAATATAGTCCCTTCTAAATTTGGCATCAGCTATTTTCTGCAGCTTAAATTATTGAGTGGAAAAATTTCTTCACTTCAAAGCACTGTTCTCTCCACTCCCACTGATATGAATACAGGAAAGAAACCCAACATACAAGCAGTTTTTCACAGCAACTCTTGCAGCTTCAGGCAGAGCAACACGAGGTGGTTTGTGAGTGTAAGGCCCAAAGCAGATGAGTCCGAGGCTAAATTTCACTTCAGCTTATAGAGATAGAAAAATAAATATTTGTAAAGCTCTAATAAAATGCATTTAGACTCACCAGCTCTTAATAAATGCTATTACATTTGCTGATTAATTCAAACATTCCCGCATTAAACACTACTGGGAATGTTTAATCCTGTATTCAACCGAATAAAACTAAAACCCTTAAATTAGATGTGACAGATTCTGCTCAAGTGGCTGTTACAGCATTTCAGCGTGCTGTGAACCAACACAGGAAAAAAACAAAAAACCCAAGAACACAGCCAGTGGGCAGAGAATGAGCTTCTCTGGTCGCCCAATAAAGCTCTGCCTTTAAAAGAGATTACCCAACAGTTCTTCATTTTACAAAACTTCAGATATTTCAGGGTTTCAGCAACTTAAGAACATTATCATTTTGCAACTATTAGTTTTGAATAAATATTTATCTTGTTTTTAGTATGCAAAGATTTCTTTAAAATACTCCCACTTGAATTTTGTCATGCAAAACTTTCAACTAGGTCACTGCTGATCATCTGAATCTGTACTGTAATTCATCATTTTAGACACACTCCGTAACTAAATAGCAAAACAGAAAATTCTACCAGAAAAAAAAAAAAACAAAAACAAAAAAACCCACCCACAAATAAACGACAAAACTAGGCGGTATTTTTTCCCCACCCCCCAAGTTACTCACTTGAGCAGGACTGTCGGTTTGAGAGATTGTAAAGGGAGGGGTAGAACTGAAGACAACGCAGCAGAGGTAGACTGCTGCGGCACTGCTCACAGCCAGAAAAGGACGTGAAGGAAGAGGAGGAAAGGGCCGTGACCAGGATGTGGCGGAACAGGGCCAGGGCACCTGTCACATTGCCCTGGGCCAAGTGTACGCTCACCAGGCTGAGCAGGGTGTGAGGCTGAGGGAGGAATAAAAACAAAAACAAGTCAAGACGGGTGAAATTAGATGGTGGATGATGTGCGTGATAATGAACATTGTTCCTGTTTTCTGGGAGGATCTGCTTCTTTTTTTTTTTTTTAAATCATGCATGTAAAACAGCACTTCTGCAGTTTCCAGCTTACATATAACACAATTGACCTGCGGTTCCTGAATTATTATAGCATGAGATTTCTCTACACGCATAAACCAGTTTTTACCCGCAAAGCTTGATTTAGAATGATATTGGAAATTTTCCGTATCAAATTTAGTCTGTGGCTTCTCTATGGCATTTTCTCGATTGGGTGTGTCAAAACATAACGCCCAAGGGCCAAAATCAGCTCTGCCAAAGACAAAGACTCCATTCTGGCCCACTGGCAGTTTTGGAAAATGTGAATAAGGGCACAAAATATCTGACTTTTAACTGTATTTTCACATTTTTACAGCTTTTCCTTCTAATAAACACCTCCACTGTAACCATTCATACTACACTAAAACAACTAATAGATAAACCATTAAATGACACAAAATTTGTTTTTTCACCATGTACTAAAAATGCAAGACTTTTGTATTCTTTACTATAAAACCCATCAATTAACAAAAAACTTGAGTTTTTAATTAAATAACAGTCTGCGCAATGACCTAACCAAACTGGTTTTTCATACTGATTTCTTGCAATTTAAGAAATTTAAAGCAGCATTTATTTATCATATATAAAACTCGAGATATATTTTTGAAACTGCATTTTCTTCTTATATATTAAAATATTTTAAGGATTAAATGTGTGATTAAACTTCTTTAGACTATCAGAAAGGTGAGTTTTGCTGGTCCGGCCCACTTAACATCAAAGCGTGCTATATGTGGCCCAGAATGTAAAATGAGTCTAACATCTAGATGCTGCACATTTTTAGGCAAAAACCCAGGTTTTAAATTTTCCTAGGTTCCTCTGCCATGTTGACATGTGTTGTCCAGTGCTCGGGACATTTGTTCCTAGAACCACCTTGATGAGTGCTCAGACATGGCACAATAACACTACTGATCCCAGCAATTGAGAAGTGGTGCTCTGTGAAGCCATCAAAAATGCAGTTCATCAGAAGTTTGTTCGTTAAGTCGCATTCAGCACAGTCAATAAAAAAAAAAACCCAAAAAAAACACTACTGCTGATTTGGGATTTTCAGTCTAGTACAACGCAGCGTGCTGTAAAGACGATAACAGGCGTGTTTTTGTTTCCTTTGACGCAAGGCGATGTGATGAATACCGTTTGTGTTAGCAAATACGTTTCTCCAACACGAACCAAAATATAAAGCACACCTAAACAAACTACTTGTACAGCATACCGAAATAGCATAACCCAGCAGGTTATTTACCTCTGACGCATTAAGTGCCAATGCATACTCCAGCAGTGTTTGTGCGTGGGTGCTTAGGCCGTGGTGTAGCAGCAGGTTTGCAGCATTGGCGAGAGGAAGGTGGCGATGGGAAGGCGAAGTTGAGCTCAAGGCTTGGCGCAGGCACTGCAGGGCACGGCTACCATTGCCTTTGGCTCGCCAAAATAGAGCTGCCTCATTGTGGACCTGCCAGCGGGGTATGGTGGCCTATACATACAAAACAAACTTAGGTTAGCTTAAGGTGGCCTCAAACAATTTGAGCTGGGAGCTATTTGGAGTGACTAGAGTTATTCATAATCAGACTTCAGATATAATGGAAACTTCTTGTGAACTCAACAACTTAAGTTGGACTGCAGGAACACTGAGTTAGTAAAGGGTTCATCTAAACTATATTTAAAGAAAAATAAACATATTCTGTAGCACTCTATACAGATTTAGGCTTATACACCAGATGGTAAGATACATAGTAACGATCAGAACCTGTGTGGGTGTGAGGAGCTCCCTTACTTGATTCATGGCTTGAGCAATTCTATGGCCAATTTGGTCCAGCGTCCATCCTCCACTACGTAACTGCAGTATCTATATACATAGACAGAAATATGTGTATAGGGATAGTCTTTGCCACAAAAAAAAAAAAAAAATACACACACACACACGCACAAGATGACTGTAGTGGTTGTTTTCATATGCAAATGTCTCGCACGTGTACAAATAGACAGACAGATACCTCAGAGGCAAAAGAATCTGGCAGCTCCTTTTCTTCCAGGGGCCACTCTAGTGAGGCAGGCAGAAGGGCTGGGTATGGTTGGAGGACAGGACCACAGTCTGGCAGACCTACTGTCCCAGAAAGACTGCTGGTCCCATAAAGAAGAGTTGCCACTGGGCTGAATAAACATAAGCAGACATATTTCACTCATTATTCTTTTTTTTGCAAAGCTCTTTGAACACATGTGTTTCTTTTGCATTCCTGTGGATCCGTCTGAGGAATGTGAAACTAATATATCTATGCTGCTACCACTAGAAATGTGTCCATCCAGGAATCTGTACTGACCTGATGCCCTGTGATTCAGGTGAAAGGTAGTAGGTTGGCAGCAGGTGAGCTGGGGGGACACTTGGATACTCGTGGGCACAGTCAGACCTCTGAGGCCACAACATCCTCTGCAAGTCCTACAGCACAAACACACTTCCTGTAACTCTAATTATTCAAAACATGATCACGCCCTAGTTATCCAGTTTATCCAGGCTATACGTGACTATTTTACAAGTCTAATATTTTTCTCTTCAGTATTTAAATTTGTCTGCCAAATGTAAACCACCAGTTCCCACACAGTGCTGTAAGTACTATGGTGAGTTTAAGTTCATTTCGAGCAATTTGTTTAAAGTTTGTTTAAGCACTGCAAGAGTTTTATTGAGTTTTATTTATTTTGTTTGGTTTTATTTACAGTCACAGATTTCACCTGTGAAAAAAAAAAGAAAATTAAAAGAAAACAAAAAACAAAAACAAAAAACATGTAATTGGTTTAGCCTGCCTTTGTGTAATCCTGATGGCTGCCCCAGAGGGCGGCAGCGGGATCCTGGCCCCCAGACACAGTGGGGTGGAGCTGGAGGCTGGCTTCCGTCTGGTTTGAGTTGCGCTCTGACACAAGTGCCACACTGGATGCCACTGACACCTCTTCTCCAAACTACGAACAAAGACAGAAGCACAAAGTAAAACAAGGTTCTTCATAAATAATGACTCAATAAATAAATGTTTGTTTTATTCTTGTAGAAAGAACACAGCAGTGTCGTTGCATTTAAATTGCTTGTCTATAAAAACACAAACAAAAACCCTGGGCTAAGAAACACTGTCCTTCTGTTTGAACACACATGCTCATTCGTGGATTGTTCATTGGTTTTGATATTCTCTACACTGTAGAAAAATACTGATGACATTCAAACCGTGACATATTTTATGTAGTAAGTGAAAAAATGTTTTAAATGCAAATTATGTTTTGAGTTTTACATGCATTTGCCAGTGTTAGAGTGTTCACATCTACCCGTATGCAAGAGCTCTCAACAGAGTGACTGATGTAAATTTATCATCGAGGGATGTAGTCGTGTGCAGCTATTACAGTGTGCCGCTAATTTCTGAGACTGAAAACGTCTCCTGTACAGCAGAGGTAATTCTTAGTCTTTCCTTTCAGAGGAAATGAGAACCTGAGAGCCAGTTTCATTACTGTTTGATGGTTTTTGTGCCTTAACTTGAAAGAAAAAAAAAAAACTTTAAAAAAAAGGCAGACTGACTGATCCACCAGTTCTTAACATATTAACAGACTATCTTTTCTCTTTGTCACATCTAACAGTCACTTTGGCAAGGACACTAACTGCAACTGAATAGAAAAATTTTTGTAAACTAGAACTGATTTTTCATAGCAAAAAAGTGATATCCCTAAAGTCATTCAGAAAAGAAGAGATTATGCCATTGCTTTTAGACTAGAATAACCTCTCGTGATGAACTTGTTAAACATACTTTCAATAGTGTGCACATCTGCCAAGAAGGTGGTCAGCGTTTATCATTTTGATGTCTACATTTTCTTATAAACAGTTTTTCCAAAGACTCACTTGGACATACTGAACATGTTCAAACAGATCACCCCGGTGGTAGCGCACAGGCAGGTCAAACGGGCAGTAGAGGCTGTGCTGCTGCTGACCCAGCCGACACATCTGATGGTTCCCTGAAACACACATGATGGAAAATTCTCAGATGTTATTCTAAACACTCGGAGACTATAAAAGAAGGACTGAGCCACTGGGAAGTGAGTTAGCGTAGTCCCATCTTAGAACCTAAAGCTAAGCATTTTAGTGTGTTGAAGCCAACAACGTCAATAACTGACTCGTAACTAGCAATTTAGAATATAAACTTATCAGAAAACTTTTTATTTGAAGTCACCGTTCAGAGGAGCCTAAGGACTGTTTTAGGGCTGTATGACTATGACCAAAATGCTGTTAAAAATTGAGATCACAATTATTTGTCATGATTATTCATTGATTTCAGTGACAGAAATCTTTTTTTGCTGTCATGTAAACAAATTCCTATTTTCATATTCGTATTGTGTGACACTCTTGCTAATGTACAGACTAAAATAAAACCGGTCTTTCTAATTTGCCAGAATTAAGTGCATCTCTTTGAAGAAAAATAACAAACATAAATTGTAAAAAAAAACAAAAACAAAACTTAAACAGAAAATTAAACAGACATGGCATTGCTTTCACTTTATACACTGCGCTATATTCCTGTTAATTAGAATATCTGGTTTTTATTCGCCTGACCTAACACCTAACCTAGCAAAATCTTTCACTCCAATCATTGTACCTGCATGGTGGGTGTGAATAACACGTAAAATAACTCTAGTAAAACTCGAGTAAAATACTCGACAGCTGTGAGATTCTACAAAGAACACAGGTTTTGTCACTGTAGAAAGACAACTGTCTGCCTTTATTAATCACCGTGTTTATTGGAAATATACTTTTTGACCAAATGTCTTTATGATCTGGTTGGATACACTGATGTGCTGCAAGGCTCGCTTTTATTGACATCGGAGTTGATTTTGGAAGATTCACAATTGCACTATTTTTTTTGGTCTACATGCATTAATTATACTGCAGGTGGCCGGATAACTCAACATACAACAAATGACTATGTTGCTTTGTGGTTCACAGACAACTCTAGTGCTCTCTTGGCAAATCGTTTGTTCAGGCTGGCACCAATTCCAAAGTATTTCCGAGCAGTGGGATGATGATCAGCTTTAAGGCACAAGCTCTTCAGCTTCTGCAGTGTCAGATATTTTCATGGTGCTTTAAATCTATATTTTAATGTTGTTTAATATTCTCCTGAATAGTCCAGGAAACTTCAACCTGTCAGCTGCAGTAAACAGCTGTGGCACATGCAGGTAAATGGTAAGACACTGATTTAGCAAGTGTCCAAAGGTTGATTCTGTTCATCTGGACGTAGCGTTTTCAGTGGGAGAAACATTTCGTCACTCATCCAAGTGACTTCTTCAGTCTCAGCTGACTGCAGGTTTCCCCAATCTTATAAACAGTACCTTTGAATAATAACTGAAACCAGCCCACTGAAGGAACAATGGGCTGGGAGGTCAGTTCCTTCATCATGATTATGCAAATTCTCATGACCAATGATCAATGACCACTGATCAACGGCCATGAGTACCATTCACAGAGAGTTGGGAAATGGCTGCAATCACAGCATTGTAAGATGGCGAAAGATGTACCCTTAGGCCCCCTCCTCGATTCAGAGATGGTCTTTCCCTTTTCACGTAAATGGCCTCCCTGACTCCGTGCTCCCTGCAGTCAGGTGAGACTGAAGTAGTCACTTTACGAAACGTTTCTCCCACCCTATAACGCTACATCCAGATGAACAGAATCAACCTTTGGAGATTTACTTACCTGGGTGATGGAGAATGCATCAAGATGATTTAGCAAGTGCTTAATTTGCTTTTTCTTGGTGTTGTACTGACAGAGAACACACTTTTAATATCGTTTGATCGCATTCAAATGATTTTGTGGAGCCAAAATTGTGATTGAGATAAAGTTTGTTTAATTTGTTTCCTCGTAGTCTACGTTACAGCCAAACCTGTTTTTGCACCTAACCCCAACTAAACCCTACTTTTGTTTTTTTAAAGGGACCATGTGTAAACCTAGAATAATGTGACTTGACATCTTGTTGAGTTGCTCATATTGTGAATTTGCTTATTCATGCTTGAGTTCATTTATGAGTTTCACAACTTTACAATCATCTCTACTGCACCTTGACAGCTTTACCACTTCTGCTATGTGAAACCAAGTAATAAACTTTGCCCTCCTCAGAACTGATACACATCAGTTTGCAGTAAAACAACTGGCTGAACAAGTCACTTCTTTTTCACAATTATAAAAATGCACATTAATTTAGTATGTAACAAGCTAAACCACAGCCAGCACAGGCTCCTCATATTATCTTTTGACCTGGTAAAGCAATTAGCTTCCTCCAAAGTAGAACGTAATTTGCTGCAAAACTCATTAACTGAACTGTGTGATTACAATACTTTGCAATAATCTCATGACTATTCTAAACGTTCTCTTTCCTGTTCTGTTCTCGTTTAATTCCTGTATGTGGCATCTCACCAAGTTGGGCTTCTTTGGCCATCTGGGTTTCATGGATAATGTTGCGCAGGATTTGTTCTTCCTGCAGCAGCTTGTGTTTGTCCAGCGCCTCCTGCTGGCGAAGGTAGTGATCATGCTGCTTTTGGTACTCCTTCAGCTCATTCAGTGTCCGCTGTAGGGACCTACAAATATGGAAAACAAAGAGGAAAAACAGGACAGTTGGTAGACATGGATAAGTGTAAAAATAGTCCACTGGCTGCCAGCTCTGCACTTATTTTAATCACATATTTTGACTTCCCTACAGGTAGGTCTATGCGTATTTCTTGTAATCACTGAACAACCTCGACATACAGCAAATGACAATATATTTTCATTGCAAGGCTTTTCTTTGGCATCATCAGTAACAGAAATGTACAGTAAAAACAAAAACAACCAAAATCACTTAGAGAGTGTGTTAAAATGCTTGTGTACCTGTGCTGGGCTTCCAGGCGTTGCTCCAGTTTTTGCTGACACAACACAGCATGCTTCCTCCTTAGGGCCTGTTCATAGCCTGGCTGGGCCTGCAGTGCCTGCTCGTAACAAAGCACCGAGTGGTTGTATTCCCCAAGCATCTAGTCAGACAGCAACAGAAGAGGACACATAAAGCACGACAGATACAGCAGAGGTCAGACTTACCTGTTTTATGTAGCGACGCATTGCGAGCACAACAGAACGATAAACAGACTAAAAATATGTACAGACTAGTACACTGATAGAAAGTCTGGTGGACACAAAGAGAAGTGTTATATAAAAATACGTTTTGTAAAATACTGATACTAAATGCGTAGTAAATACTAAATATGAAAACTGTTTTACAGGCCTTGCTTGTAAATCCACTGATAGTCAGAAATTTTCTAAAATACTAGTCCGTAAGAAAACTGGATTTTGATTCTCTCTGAAACCTAACTACAGTGAAATTCAGGAAATGCTGTGATAAAACAAGATTTAAAGACTCGAGCATTCACTGTGGCTTGAAGGTTTCCCTTTAACTTACAGCATAAATGTTGCCTAAAGTGTAGTGACTGGTGAAGAGGTCTGAGGTAAGGTCGAGGGCAGCGTGGGCGAGGATAGCAGCATCGGCTGAAAAATGGGCACGATGTAGGATGTTGGCCATGTTAACCAGGGCTATATCCTTGTGCTGCCTACAGGAACAACAAACACACAGACACACGTGTGACCACTCGCACGCAATAAACTAAATATTACCGCAAAACTCGTCTGACGAGCCTCACAGTACCTTGGGGAGAAATGCAGAGCGCGCACAACGCAGTCCACGGCCTTCTGAGGCTCATTCTTCATACGCCAATAAAATGACGCCATGTTGTACAGCACCCAGGACGACGAATTCTGAAACACACAATCCTAAAGTTATGTGTCTTTTTTTATGCCTTACGAAATACACAAACTGCCAACTTTTAACTTTCTACAGAATTTTTGCTTTTCCTCCTCCTTCATATTGTTGCGTTGGACAGCAGAGCTCAGTAACCTTAATAAGACTCACTGATAATCTGTGCTTCAGAACGTGTCTGGCCTTGCACTCAGAATGACTATTGCTTCAATATTTGGGTGTCATAAACCAATCATCTGAACAGAACAAATTTAGATAAGCAGACATGCAAAAATGATATCTGGACCATTTGCCAGTACTTATATCATACTCTTACACCAACTCCAAAGGAAAAAACAAAAACAGTCACTTTTTTTTTGTTTTTAAGTATACTGAGTAAATGTTTCACAGAGACCCTTACCCTCAGTAAGCCTTGATGGATGCGATGACCCACCTCGTCAGCACTCCGACCCAGCTTAGGAGACAATGAACTAAAAATAGGATCCTCCTTAGAAAGAAGTGGGGAGGTCAGGTTTGCCCTCTCCTGTACACCCTAGAGGAGAGAGAAGGGGAAGGCAATTAGATCATACTTTAGCAGGTGATCAAACAAGCAAAAAGGCTGAAGTCTCCTTGGTGCCGTACACCTAGGACTGGGCGATATATCGATTTTTTTAAAATATCGATATATTTTTATACGAGATATGAGATGTGACAATATCATTTATATCGATATAAATTTATATCTCTTTCGTCCACTTTTGTCTCTATGCAACGTTACTCGGCCTCGCCTCTCTCCTTCACTGAACACAACTCCCCCTCCCCCATCACTTCACCTGCAGGCAAAGACAGGATGGACACGGCAGCTATCAAAGAGAAGCTGGTCGGTAAAAAAAAAAACATTTGGAGATTACTATTGTAGTGCTGTCAGCGTGATGTTAACGCCATAACTGCAGTAACGTTAACATAAATCTCTGTTAACAAGTTACCGCGGATCGCCCCGTGTGTCGGGCGGTACGGCGTTAACGAGCTAACCGGGCTAACACGTTGACGCCTAAAATCAATTCATTTTCTCAAAAGTTGACAGCACGCCTTACGTATGAATTCTGGTTGTGCTTACTGACCGCGAACCGATTTTATGTGGTACACAGCGCTCAGAAACCTTTCAAAAAATGTTTTGGTACGACTTTGGTAAGCTACAAAAGCTGCACTGCTTGATGGATTGTTGGAGCATTACGGCTACCGAGGAGCCTCGCAGAGTAGTACGTACTCTGCTTCAACGTAATGTTACCGTACTGTGTGTGTATAAGGACCATAAATGGCACCTGTTAAGAGACACGGTTACAAAGAGGATTTCAAACTCAAGGCTGTCAGTCACGCAGTAGAACTTGGGAACAGAGCAGCTGCGAAATCTGTCTGTCTTTGTTATTCTGCGCAGCGTCTTTTAGTTTACATTTTGACTGCACAATTGTGAGCTTTTTGTTATGCACAAAAACAACATGTTTTATTTTATTTATGGAGCATTATTATTTAATACATGCTGATAATTTATTTCTGAGTATTTTTTTCTTGTACATAAGATAAGATAAAACTTTATTAATCCCTCGGGTGGGTTCCTCTGGGAAATCCGGTTTCCAAAAGCACAGCACCGACAGAAGTTACAGAATGTGAGCAGAATATTATATATATATATACACATATATAAATACAGAGACATATATAAATAAAATATACAAAAGGCATAAATAGAATAAATAGGAATACAAGGGAATTGCACATTTCAAGTATTGAAGTCTATTGCACCGTTGACTATTAACAAAAAGTATTGCACAGTGAAGTGAAGAGAAGAGGCACTACAGCTTAGTTGTTGCCCCCTCCTTTGTTCTCCTGTTTCCCCTCCCTCTCCCCTCCAGAGAGGAGTTAAACAGTTTGATGGCGTGTGGGACAAAGGAGTTTTTAAGTCTGTTGGTTCTTGTCTTTGGGAGAAGCAACCTGTCACTTAGGGCTGGGCGATATGGCCTAAAATTCATATCGCGATATAATTTGAAGCATGTGTGGTAACGATATATATCGCAATA